GCAGCTTATTAATAAGCCGTTGCGGATAAGCAGACTGACTGTTTGTTTTTTGCAATTTGAAAACGGCTGTGTTATAGCTATTTTTGGACAAATGATCATTTTGACCCAATGTAGTAATGTTGTTTGCAACAGAACTATCATACTCATATATTTGATAATTTAGAAATAAAAATTAACTTCAGAATAGTACAAAAAATAAGATATACATATCACTTAATAATGAATATTATGATTACTAAAATAAGAAAAAAACTATTAAAATAATATTTATAATATGATAATATTCTTTTAAATTCAGACGACGTATGTCACGAGCTACGTCGTCCTCCAGGAATACTATTCATATCGATCACTCTCGGCGGTGGAAACTGTCAGCCTGTCTGCCCACCTGAAGAAGTCACACTTCTTCGTGATTCTCCGCTAGCATTTGTAGAACTGTCTCTCGTAGCTATGTGTCTGACGTGACGTCAGCAAGAAACTCTGAAGTCCACAGTGACACATCAATCCTTGAAAAGTCTCAGAAATGTTTGAGCTCAACTTTCCTAATTGCTTTAAAAGAAAATTTATTAGTCATAATACAAACAGAAATTGATAAAAAAAGTAATTAATTATAGTTTTGTGCAGATGTAAGATCTCAGAGAACCCAATATATCAACCAACGAATCTGTCACTGCAAAAAAACAATAAACCTTATAAAAAAAGGGTTCTTCGTTGTCTTTAACCCACATAATATCGAACTCGTGTGTCACATATGCATATCACCAAAAAAGGTCATCTAGAAGAACCTCAAAAATCGCAGCATCGAAAAGAAGAGAAATTTGATTATCTTTATTAATATTTCACATGTGACACAAACCAACAGTGCCTAACAGGCTATCCAGAAGAACCTATAAGGTCAAACGTCTTATCATTGATCTCTAAAACCCACCAAAATAAAAACTAAATAAATGCAAATGGAACAAAAATTCTTTCAAATAGTGTAAAAAACTCAAACAATCAAATATTAAATAAAGACGGAAAGGAAATAAGCATGAACTGCATAAAATAAACAAGAATCAGTCCATTCATCGTCCAACAATGGCGTACATAATCAGTTCTCTCAAATCAATCATATCTGCAGCACCTTCGCCATCTTGGGTGCAACCCTCTTGCAATTCTACTTTTGCCTGCGGTATAGATTGTCTTATGTAATATTCAAATGCTTCAGGCGGGACGTGTAAATAATCATCATCGACCATGTTGAAGTTTACATCATTGGTCGAATGATGTCATCGAATATAGTTGTGGAGAGTCATTGTAGTCATTGCAAGCTACACATGTTTTGGAAAATGATGTGTCAGCATATCACGCAGTATGACCCATTTTTTCATTCCAAATGTTCTTTCAATTACAACGTGTAAGCTTGAGTATCTCTTGTTAAACATTTCATTCCTACCCTGAGCAACATTGTTGGATCTCTCAAAGTTGGTGTCCAAGTTCTCATGTATAGCTGCAAACTTAGTCTTCGTTGTCGCAACCCCACCAAACATACGGTCCAACTTTTCTTCCAGATCAGAGTCAATTCCACTAAACTTGAATTTCTTAACAGTTGACACTACTTGCAATGTAAGGGGAAGAAGTGGATATGTCCATACGGTTCAAGAAGAGAATGTAATGAAAATAAAGTCTTTCATAGATAAGTTGTTACCTCTAATTTTTCAGCCCATAATGTCTTCAAAGCATCAAAAGTATATTTGATTGGATCACAATCCAAGCCCGTGGATCCTCGTTTTAATTCCTTCCATAATTTTCAGTACTTTTTTAATTGAACTGACTTGTTCTTCAATTGCACCTTATCGTACTTCCTTCCCGTCATTTCCTTGAATCTTTTCATAATATTTTTTTATTCTTCCTTATTAAAATAGGTGGTGGGTCTATTTTTTGGTTTAATCTCCTTAAGACAGAGATCGCAACATATTATCCCACATAGCTGACTAATCTTCCTTTTATTTAATCATTACGTTACTAGCATAGAAAAAGCTAAACATAAACATTTGACAGAAGAAGAAATTAGCAAAAATCACAACCACAAGCCAACAACTCCACAACCACACTCCATACATTTACACCAACACAACCACACCTCACATCTCCACAACCCACAGCTCCACAACTCCACACACACAACTCCACAACCCCACACACAAACACCTCCACACAAAACAACTTCAATACCTCCACACAGAACCACGCCTCCACACAAAAACAAAAACCACACAGAACCAACACAACCACAACTACAGCCTCCACACAACCACAAACACCTCCACATTGAACCACACCTCCACACACAACCACAAACCACACAAAACCAACATAGCCACTCAACTACAAACCACAACCATCACCACACAGAACCACACATCCACACAAATACAAACCATACACAACCAACAAACCACACATCCACAAATCACACCACCCACAACTCCATACCAACACCTACACACACATCCACAACCACACACATCCACAGCCACACAGAACCAACACAACTACACAACCACAAACCACAACCACAGCCACAACAATAGCCTCCACACACAACCACAGCCACCACAACCACCCCAACAATCCATCACCACTAGCACTGACACTGAAAAAAATTTCACTGCAACCACCACCAGCAATCCACCACTAAAATTCGACCAACTGACCAGCAATCCACCATCGCTAAAATTCAGCCAACCTACCAGTAACTACCATAACTAATCATCACAGTAACAAACTAATCACAACACCAATGGTGTTCTTAACAAAATCACAAAAACTAACATCACAACACAAGTACTCCTCTCAAATTCATAGAACAAGCCATCACCACATCATTCAACAAAAGAAATCGCAGAAAACCAATATCAGAGAACCTCCAAAATCCCCCACCGCCTTTCCAACCAGTTAAATCATCATATCAGTAACCAAAATCATCGCACTACAAGTAATGCCCTTATCAAATCCACAGTATCACACCAACAATAATAAAGAAAATCCAACACCAATGTAAAATCACAGGAATTGCAAAAATCAAAATTACAAAATTGCAAAATCCAACAGCAGTGCACAACCACCTAAAAATTATCAACCAAATAGAGCTAAGAGAAGCTAAAACCATTGCAAAATCAAAATGTCATAAAAAATAGTGGTAGAGAATACCGTGGGTCGAGGGAGAGCAAAGGAACCTAGCATGGCCGAAGAATAGAGGGGATAGGGAGATCAAAGTAACCATCAACATAAGTAAACTCTTGCCAGCAGAACCACAGATCGAAGAGGAGGCAAGCGGGAATCTTACCTTTAAGGCAGAATCGGGAGAAAGGGGAGAGCGACACCGGAGAAAGAAGCTCAAGTCGTGAGAGAGGGGAGAGAGAGGGTAGGGCAGTAAAAGTCGAATGAAAGATAATACGAAACGCAGGTCGTGGGGTCGAACCCGCGGCCCAAATTTTATCGAAATTTTATAAAATCGTCACCGCGTTGCATTTATCAAGTGGGGGAAAAAAAACAAAACCGCTTTTGCGGGCTGCACCGCGCAAAAAACACGGTGCCTTAATGGGCATCAATAATGTCTCATGATAGATTAGAAACTTTTTAAAGCCTCTTTCTTCTGAGAGAAATTAGCTAGAAATGAACTAAATTTGTATAATTCTTGGATCAGAGGGTATCTAAGTTCTCATTCAATATAACTTTTTTAGTTATTAATAAAGAACATGCCTTGTGATCAAAAAAAGAATAAACAGTGCCAACTTAAGGTTGGTAAAATGCCCATATCTACGTCTGCTAATTCGGGTGGGTAACTGCAGGTAATGGCCATTGGTAATGGCTTTTATTGATGATTTCTCATGTGATTGACTTTAATATACCATTATATAAGAGATGATATTATGAGTGCATCAGCTGTGATGGATCAATTTTTGATGATTAGTTTGGGGGGAATAATTTTAATGAATATGCATTCCCTTTTTAAAGGAATTAGCATACATGCCACACAATTCTTATGTATTTACACATTTAACACAAACTTTCATATCTACATGTACAACACTCAGATATTTAACATAGCATTAAAAAATCTGCTGTTACATTATATCTAATTAAGAGAATTATTTTTGGTCGCCGTGGTTAGGATTCTTGCAACATTTACGAAGGAGGACATTCACAAAATTTAAAACTAGACCCACATTCTTTTCATGAAGGGGGAACCAGGATCGAAGCCTAGAATGGGATCTGGTCCTATGGCTCAACCTAGAGGAGAAGGTTGAAGAAGCTCTAGACCTTGAGGGTTTCTGAGCATCACCACCACCAGCCACCATTGTCGCTACTATTGGACCACCATCTTCTGGCACTTTTCAGACTATTGCTACTCGGCCATTACCGTCATTGCAGTTGGAACTCCGCTTCCTAGCCACTCTCGTTGTCGTTGACGGACCACCTTTGTTTGGCTACAACTGTCATCTGACCAGTGCTGCCTGGCCTACATTGTAGTATCCATGGCACCACCGCCATCTGGTCATCGCCACTCTAGGGCCATTACCGTCTGAAAGTTGTTGCCGCTAGACCACAAGCATTGCTGTCACCAAACCACCAATGTTTGGATACGACCTTCGTCTGACCATCCACCATCATTTGATTGCAACCTCCGCTAGAACACTATTGCTTGGCCACCGCCATCACCGATGTCAGACTAACTCCATATGTCCATCACTGCAAGACCACCAATATCATCCGCCCACAATTGCCCTACTTTTACCATTGCCATTGTAGGATCGCCACCATCCGACCCCCGCCGCCGAACCACCGTTGACTTGCCCCCACCGCCAGACCACAGTTGTCTTGTCGCCCATCGCTGCACAACCTGCACCATCGCTGTTGTCGTACTACCACAGTTTGGTTGCCGCCACCGTCAGGCCTCCATTGCCATGCCACTGAACCACCAAATCAAGCATAAATACTTTACTGTAGATAAACATTTAATTTAAAAATACCCAATAATGTTATAATTAAGCGAGCATTACTTTCCAAACGGAATTTCACTGGAATTTTGATAGAATAAGAAAACTAGATAGTTACTCTAAGGGGTGTTTAATAGACTATTAATAGAAGAATTTGGCATTGAATTTAACTTAAATCTAACCCATCACAAAAAAAAAAAAACGAAACCTTAAATCCAACGCTTCGTTAAACCAAATTTTCTCGCATTCTGATTATTCTAAAATAGTTATGTCTGCAACTAGATGACGTAAATTTGGATTGATTAAATCCAACTCGCTGACGGATTTACGACCCTAGCTTTGAAGCTTTTCTCTGTCTAAATGAATCTGATAAATCCAAATTTACTAAATCTTATTTAGCATAAATCTTTGATACAGACAGTCAAACACTGCTTTAGTATATTAGCTTACATTTCAACATGGATACGTGTAACAACATTCCAGTGGTTTTGAGTTGCTACCAAATCACAGCTTGGGGCATTTACATACACTCCACAAAATTCTTATGTATTTACATATCTACGCACCAAATTCAATATTCACATGCATAACAATCAAATCTTAAATATCATAAATACCACCTACATTTTAAAAGTGGTAATTTTATAAATCTAGTAAAGACCGAATTCGCCTTATTAATTATGTTCCATTTCTCAACAATGGGTTCACAATCCTAAATCCTTCTCACAACAATCGTGATGCTTCAGCTACATTCAAGAAACACTTTCATAATGTATTTTAAAACTGATTAGGAAATAGAAATAATAATGACTAACTAATTACTTTTGGCCGGGTAAATTCTCACTGAGTAACTTGTGTGCTTCAGCTGTGGTAAGAGATCAGGTTGAATCACAATACCTAAGTTTTTAGCATACTTATCATTAGCATATTTTTTTTCTTTTTTGACAAGCTGCAAAAGCAATCAGAATGTCACCATCTCAAACTAATTGTAGGATCAATGAAGTAACCCACCCATTAAACTAAAAATAAAGTACTAAAGCTGATTTAAAATCGCAAAATCTAATCTCCAAAATGCTCTTCTCCCTATCAGCTGGACGCTTACAATTTGATCTTAATATTTCAGTAACTTGTCTATCGTTTAGCTTCTTAACATATCTCCGCCCATCCACAATTTTGCATACCTACTAAAACTGAGGGTTGTAGTAGGATCGAGGTTGAACAACAAAATGCTTAATCTTAGAAGCAATGCATTGGAAGAAAGAAATTTAAGAATATTGTTGTCAAGAGAACCTCCATTGGCTAGTAGTTTGGTTTGCTATCACTGCTAGCTTTAATGCAAGGTAATGAATCATACATAAGATCACAATTGTGTCATATTCTAAGGTACTAGGCAACAAACTATACAGTTCCCTCTGGTTCATCAATCGTAAACCCGTTGAGAAAAACTATTGACTAGAGGGAGCCTGATAAGATAAAAAATGGAGCATTTTTGTAGGAATCAAAGTGCAATGACAAAAAACAAACAAGAGAACAATATACATCAGCTAGTTAGTAAACTGTGATGTAATCCATGTGATTTTATCGCGTCTGCACACATTTTGTAATTGAGTTGTTTCCATACCCAGGCTCCTTTCAATGCCTGATAGCATTTTTTTCTGAACAAGTGAGCCCAAAAGACAATGTGTTATTCAAATCTGTAATATCATAGTGGAAGACAACACCCTCAGCTACTATACCGCAAATAAGTGCACTCTCATTATAACTTTTATTTATGAATTTTCTCTAGTTCCGGCACCCCTTTTAAATAATGCAACCAATATAATCTCATGAGAACATCATAAATTTTAACATTATTATTATTATTATTATTATTTTTTGGAAGAACAATCTAAGATACTATAGATTCATAATAGAGAAGAAAACATTAAAAAATATAAAATCAAAACAAAATGTTCATAATAATAATAATAATAAGCAAATTCATAATAATTATTTAACATACATAATAATATTAAAATGATAACATAGTAATTCTAATAACTTAACATCCCCAGAAGCTCACAATATGGCAACAAGCAATGTCAAAAGTTCATATAGTGCCAAGTCAAAAAAAAAAAAAGAAATAACAGAATTTTTAATAGTGTAATTATATCCATCTAATGTGCTGCAAAAAAAAAAATGAAAGGCAGGCTTGGGATCTGCTTTATTCCCCTCAACAAAAAAACCACGAAGAGCGATCATTCTTTAAAGAAGGATTTACATACATGTCATAAAATTCATATAATTTTTCAGTTATATAAAACCTAAATATTTATATTGACTTATATAACAACTTATGATTTTTCAGTTATCAAAAACATCATTACCATTAAATCATGAAAAATGCACCTCATAGCAAATTCATAATAATTATTTAACATACATAATAATATTAAAATGATAACATAGTAATTCTAATAACTTAACATCCCCAGAAGCTCACAATATGGCAACAAGCAATGTCAAAAGTTCATATAGTGCCAAGTCAAAAAAAAAAAAAGAAATAACAGAATTTTTAATAGTGTAATTATATCCATCTAATGTGCTGCAAAAAAAAATGAAAGGCAGGCTTGGGATCTGCTTAACAAAAAAACCACGAAGAGCGATCATTCTTTAAAGAAGGATTTACATACATGTCATAAAATTCATATAATTTTTCAGTTATATAAAACCTAAATATTTATATTGACTTATATAACAACACAATCTCTAAATCATATCAAAAATATCATTACCATTAAATCATGAAAAATGCACCTCATATATTTTAATATGATTTAGCCATTAAGACAGTATATAAATAAATATAAAAATTTAAAAACTAGATATGTTAATTTAAAAAATTTTGTGATATGCATGTAAATCCCCTTCTTTTTAAAATTGTCGCCAGCTCATATTTTAACAGTAAAACATCACGTCCCTGATGTTCTCCTTAACAGCTGGAAGAGCAGAGATGGTCGTTGCTCGCTCGCGTGTTCTTCCACTGATTTGACTTGATCCATATTCAGACCCTGCTTCCATGTAATATCGTGCTCGGAAAGCTGCAAGGTGCGCATAATATACAGGAGCAACTGCAAAGCAGCACAAACATGTTGATAGAAGCCAAAAGAAAAATCAAGCACATGGAAACAGTAGTAGATGACAATTACCAACTGAAACAGAGCGCGTGCATCGAGCATATCTATACAAACAAAATATTACAATTAGCTCAAGCGACAAGACAACTCACTAGTATGATATGTATTTGCATATCTAGCATCTAAACTTCACTTTTTCACATTTATACAATCTTAATCCTTAATATCACATAAAAAAATACCACCACTTTAACTTAAACAAAAAAGTGAAATTCATTTTTTATATATAAATAAGGTGGCATTGGCATGTATGTAAATTGAAGTTTGGATGTTAATATGTAAATTCATAGGAATTGAGTGGTCGGTATGTAAATCTTCCAAGGATATAATACACTTACATGTAGCATAAGTTATTAGTTAGCGTCTGCAGCTGATCTGCGGAAAGACCATTTTCATCGCAAAGAACACGATAATGAGCAGGACGACTTGTGCCCTGCGGGTATTTGTCAGTTTTTCTATTAGAAATCCGCTAGTGAGGTAAGAGAATTCTAGCCAAATTATCCGGCTAGCTACAAATTTGAGAGTTTCTACGCAATAAAAATTTACCTGAATACCAGCATGACTACAAAGGTAGAAGTCGAACTCAGTAGGATGGCAGATATTTCTATCGACTACCGTACCTAAGAATCGAAATATGTTGAGAAACTGCACCATATATAGATTAATCAAGCCATCAAATGAACAGTACCTGGCAATATGTTCCCGCTCCTATCAGCCATATTCTCATTCTCAGGAAATAAACGCGTATGGTGCCTCTTCTGCACCACTATAAACGTTATTGGTGGAAGATAGTCTTCTTCTATTGAGACACAAGCCTATAAATCATTTGTTCAAATCAGTTATTCAAAAGAACACAGAGAAGGAATATAATTATTTTAAGATAATCATTATAATTATAATAAACAGAAACTAACTTTTTTTATAGCATCCATTTCATTCGAAAGCACGTTATTGAATTGGCCTTCACTAACACCATCCCTACATTTAAAAAACAAATCTTCCCAGGTTTACCAATGGTGCATCCTTAAGAGTAAGAATAAGTTTAAAATACCACCAAATAACAAACCTGTACAATAAAATGTGCTTAGGTTTATGCCCATTACTCTCTCTATAAAATTCTAGAAGTAGTTCCCTGTTTATATATATAAATATACATATAAAGTTAGAAGTTCAAATTCCAGGATATCCAGTCAATGTTTAATGTTGTTGGACCAACCTTATCATTCCCTGAGGACCATTGTCAGTCATTTTAAAGAGATTCTCTATAATTTCTTGTCTGCGCGGTTGTGCAGATAGAAGACATTTGTACTTTACTAAAAAATAATCCATAGATGCAACCACCTAGAAGATAATCCAGAGTAAAATTAATGCTAAAAAGTAATGATTAGAGAGCGACCAACATTATCAGAGACGAGAAATAAACCGCAGCAATGGAGGAAGAGTCTTCTCCTGGGGACGGATGGGTCACATCAGCTCCAAATATAATAGTGGGTGCATTTGAAGCCAAAGGGACTTGCTTTGTAATGACATCTTCAAGATAAGTATTAGAACCCCCAACCTGTTGAATAAAATAAAAGGATAAGAAACAACATAAAACTAGCACACCTGCAAAAGGAGAAAACATTGCGATCGATCGTCAGGCGACAGCTCGGCATGGCTGGTCGAGTTGTCGTCTGGTTGTTCATTGTTTGAATGTGCAGACGACAAACATAATATTTTCTCCTACAAAAGATAACCCGAAGAATTACAAACCTTCACATTTATTTTCAAAGCTAAATTTACAAAGTATTGTTTATTTGGCTTGGATTGTAGATGTTTTGGTTGGCAGCACTGAGTAACAATACCAAGCTCAGTTTCACATATTTTTTTTATCTTGCCTGTAAAACCGATATCAAATGATAGATAGTTAAATAAAATTTAGGAATGTAAAGCAAAAAATTTACAAAAGTAAACAAGCTATAATATGAGACATACCATATGTACCCTTAGCTTCTGGGAGAAAAACAATTAGCAATTGTAGCTGTGGCATGGCATTAACATATTGACGGTGAAGTTCATATAAGGCTTTATCTATTTCTGATGGCGGGCGTGAAGAGAAGTGCACAGGAATATCATTGAAAACCTACGTTTAAAAGATAATGAGTAGCCTTGATGATAGAGTATAATCACAATTCAAGGCAAAAGAAAATAAAGGTAAGAACCATTCCAAAATTGTTGCACGTGAGAGCTAGTTCACGACAGAAATCCTGAATGACAGCCATACTGTGACGACAAAAGCTTATGCATGCCCAAGTATTAAGAGTACCCCCTTTAACAAATTTCTGCACAAGCACAATGATTCATTTAAAGCTATGACAATGATACAACAACAATATAAAACCAAAATCAAAATTATCGATTGCTATGAGGATAAAAAACCTTTCTAAATCAGAAAAATGTTCATTTAAAACTATTTTTAACAATATTTTTTATCAAAAAACGTCCACACATAAAAAAACATAGAATCTATAATGCATATTAGAGAGCTTAGAAACAATGCAGGCTAATTTTATAAATTTAGTAAAAGCCAAATTCACCTTATTAAACATATTCCATTTCCCATCTTTGGGTTCACAATCCGTCTCACGACCACGATCGTTATACTTCAGCTACATTAAATTAGAAACAATTCCAAAGGTTTAATTTGAACGGGTTAGGAAATAATAATAATAATAATAATAACTGTGTAACTACTTACTTTTGGCGGATGTAGCACTCGTGCTTCAGCTGTGGTGAGATGAGTATCAATCTTCATACCAAAGTTCAAAACATGCTTATCTTTATTATAATTATTTTTATCGACAAGCTGCAAAAGCACTCAAGATGTCACCATAACAATTTGTAGGATCAAAAAAATTAACCCACCCATTAAACTAAAATACAAAGACAAAATAAAGTTTTAAAGAAGATTTAAATTCACAAGCTCCAACCTTAAAAATGCTTTTCTCCCTATCAACTGGACGCATACAGGTTGCTTTTAATATCCGAGTTACTTGCAAATCATTTAACTTCTTAATATACCTCTGTCCAGCCACAATATTGCATACCTATTAAAAATGAGAGTTGTAGGATCAAAGCTGAATAACAAATTGCCTAAGCTTAGAAGCAATGCATTGGAAGAAAGAAAATTATAGATATTGTTGTCAAGAAGAACCTCCATTGGCAAATAGTTTGGCTTGCTATCACTACCAGCTTTAATGCAAGGTAGTAAATCATACTTAATTTCATAAAAGTGTTTTATTTCAAAGTACTTGGCCACAGATATTTCAGTTCCTCCCTGTGGTCCATCAAGAGTAAACCTGTTGAAGAAAAATATTGACCAGATAGAATAAAAAATGAAACATTTTCATGGGAAACAAAGTGCAATGACAAAAATCAAACAAGTAAACAACATACATCAGCTGACTAGCAGGTTGTGATGTAAACCCTGTGATCTTGTAGCGTCTACACACATGTACTAAATGAGTTGTTTCCACCCGGACTCCTTTCAATGCCTTTTGTATCTGAAAGTTCCAAAGAAGTTATACATCTAACCTAAAGTAAATAACTAAGAAAATACCAAATTATTTTTGCAAAGGAATAGTAGCACATATGGTTTGATATTAGCAAAAAGAATAAAATCATGTGCAATTTGGATAAAATAAATGAAAGCATACAACTCAAATAGGAAAGAAGAATGGCTCGAACAAAAACAAAATCAAATACCTCAAGACGTTGCTTTTCAGATAAAGTTTGAGGAACCGATCGAATATTAAAAAATTCCATGACAAAGTCTAATAAAGACCCTGCCTTGTAGAAAGGCGTTGTAGAAATATCTGCAAATTCAAAGCAAAGGCCACACATATCATTGCAAATTACAAAATGCTGCTAACGACTTTTGGATAAACCAAACATTGATATTACACAAAAACTGGGAAGAAAAAATCATTACCAGTGTTCAAGCATAAGCCCATTTGTGTTGGTCGAAGACTTTGGAAATAACCCTGCCAACATTCTAAACCTTGGCCAATATCAGTCACCCGAAAATCACGTGAAAAGAATGATCTTGAAATTGTAACACACCTGTAAAAAGAAAACCAAAAACCAAACTATTTAAATTAGAAAAAAAAAAACAAATCAAAAGAAACATAAAAAATAGTTCCCATTTGTTTCAATACTTATTTGAGGGAGTCTCTCTGAGAACAATATCCAAAGCAGTAATGGCATCATATGGGCATTCCTTCTGCCTCCTATCCAAAAATTTTGTAAGAGCATACGTATCAACCTGTTTTGCAAATTTGATGGTAATTTTGAATGATTTTGGCCGGCTGCAAAAAAGTTACAAGATATTAAATTAAAAACATAAAATTAAGCAAAAAACTGCAAACCTAGAATTACCAAAAGCCTCACACAAAGGGAATCTAGATGATTAGGACCGTAATACACACACGTGGAATAAAATCTGGAATAGGTGGGTAGAAGGATATGTGTTATGTGTGCGTATAACTGCGATGCAAAGGGGAAATAGAAGCATATAGAAAAATTTAGTATCAAATTCGCACTGTCAACCTAAGATGCATGTTGCCATTAAAATTGAACAAAAAAAAGAGAAATTAAAATTAATTAAACCCTACCTAATCCCGACTTAGCATCTTGATAACAAGCCCCACACTCTTCTTCGTTCTTTGATAAAACTACCATCTTCCTCTCCTAGTAAAGGAAGTAACGACGGGTTCGCGGCATGCGTAGACCTTCGAAACTCCTGTCTTTCTCTCCTGTGCATCTCCACCGCGATATAGTTGTGGATCGGGTTAGCATGAAAGGCAACCATGGGATTGTTGCACATGTGACTCCCAGGACACGCTACAGTGCCTAAACTCCCCGCTCTCACAGTCGAAGCTCGTGCGCCTGAAACCCACTTTCTCCTGTGGTTCCCTTCATACGCACACAATTCGAGACCTCATCTCTCATCAGGAAAATTATTGGTCATTATGGGACTCATAAATTTTAATTTTCAACGATTCTCAAGTATATTACGATCAATCCACTTCACACGTAATACTCCAGACATAAATTATGTCCGGATGTGATATTTGCTCCTCTTACCACTGTCTTTTCCGCATCAGTCACATAAGGGCCTCTTAACATGAACCTTAAGCCAGCCACTCTATGGTTGTGAATTGAGTTTCAAGATCCTTAATTGCTCGAAAATTATTTTAAATTTTGGCTCGAATCGAGATAGATAGAAATAAATGAGCCGAGCTACAAGTCAAAATTTTGAAATGAACTTTTAATGAGCCGACTCCAGCTCAGCTCGAAATCGAGTCGTTAACTTCAATAGTGTTGTCAGGACCCTAAATTTAGCAAATTCGACTTAAATTACTCAAAAATTGATTCAAATTTTGGCTTGGATCGAGATAGAATTGAAATAAATGAGTCGAGTTACAAACCAAAATTTTAAATTGAATTTTTTTCAAACTAATTTTGAGCCGACCCTAACTCGGCTCGAAATTAGATCGTTAACAATCGTAATTATGTTCCCTCGACCAACTCTCTCTTTAATTCCTAATCAATAATATATATATATATTTCTAATTTTGCCTATCGCCGACATTGTTGCCGCACTCTCAAAAGTTGAAATGCATGGAGAATTATAAATAATTGTTTGGGCTAGTCCGGCTTGGCGAAAAATTATGTTGGCATTTTTTTCATGTAGGTTAATCAAAGATCTGTACATGTCTTATATGTCGGTTGATTAGAAGATCCCTTTATGGTTGCAGTATTTCTTGACATTGATCAGTGTGTCTTATGAGTAGTTGGGCAGGCTAAGCAGCCCGATGTAACCCCTAAGTAGGAATGACTCCGAAGAGACTCTCAAAATTATTAGTGATCTTTGACTAGTAAAAGTTATAAGGGTTGTTTGGTTGAAAGGATTTGTGATGTACTGTAATTCATTTACAAGAATTTGACGAAATTACGTGTTTGGTATGAGGAAGTACAAGTATAATGGGCAGGCTAAGCAACCCGATGTAACCCCTTAAGTAGAAATGACTCCGAGAGACTGTCAAAATTTTTAGTGATCTTTGACTTGTAAAAGATATAGGGGATGTTTGGTTGGAAGGATTTGTGATGTATTGTAATTCATTTAAAGGAATTTGGCAAAATTATGTGTTTGGTATGAAGATGTACAAGTACAATATAAAATTTTAATGAATTTAAAGTTCACTTCTAAGTTTATTTTGGCTTCATTTAGAATTCGGTCAATTTGACCGAATTTGAATTACACTATACAATGCTATGGGCAAACTGTCATCTGTCGCCAACCCCGAACACCCGTCGCCAACTGCCGCTCACCGTCCCAACCACTGCTCGCCACCGCTGTCGCCGACTGCCACCAGCTGCAAGCCGCCCATCGCCCGCCGACCTTTGATTCTATTTTCCTTTGGCTTCCTCTATTCAAGTGATTCTTTCAAGCCTTTGATCCATAGCCATCGAGTAGAGGAGTTGGGGGCATTCATTGAGTTACATGTAACTTTCTTCGCATTCCCTTTCATTTTTCTTCGAGTTTTCATAGTTTTCTTGTTCTTCAACTTCTTTCGATTACATGACCTCAAAAACTGAGGGTGTCAAACGCCAATTTTCTTTTGATACCGAGAAATTCATTACTATTTAGGTAGTTGTATTATGTAATGACTTCATGGTATTAAAAAAGGTCATTCCTGAAAGAGGATTCCTTGAACCTGATGATAGGGTAGAGGGGTTGGTTTTGAGCATAAAGTAGAGAAAACCCTTTTTTTGCATATTGCGATTGCAGTTATTCCTATTTTTTGTGAATTCTATGCCAATGTTAAGGAGAATAAGGAAGAAAAGGTGTTCATTGGAGGGAAGCAGGTTGATTTAAGCCCTTCAAAAATTAATTCATTTTTTGAACTATATGATATTACTAAGAAGGAATATTCTCAATTTCTGCCTATTAAATCTAATTTTCATGAAATTATTAATTTCTTGAGGGATTCTCATTTCCCGTAGAGGATTTAGAATAAGAAGATGGTCAATTTCTCCTCCACTATTCTCAATGTTGAGTCAAATGCTTGACATTATTATATTTCTATAAAACTAATGTCATTGACTAACTTCAATGAGGTGATAAAGGATAGACTTATTATGAACCTCTGAATCCAAGAAATAAATTTCCATAGATATAAGGTGTGGTATGTATCTTTCAATCCACAACGATATCAAGGGAGCGATGACATTAGGCCTTGGACATCATTCTTTGATTTTTGCTTTTATGTGTGAAGGCTTGGGTTAAATATGAGCGTTGGGAGGAGCATATGAATCCTAGTAGACGAATGGCTAAGAAAACTTTGGCTTCCTATGGGGAAGACTTCTTATGAGAGAGGAAAGACTTCTTCTAGCTCCCGACCCCAATTTTTTTCCTCTATTTCTATGATTCCTGAAATGTTGGATATCCTGAGTGATGATGTGGTTATTATTCAATGGTTGTGGAGGGATATAGGCTAGAGATTTGATTATTACATTAATCAGTAAAAGTGACAATATGAGTACCACATACAAGTCAACTCTACTTCCGTTGATATGATTTGTCATGGCCAGAAGCACCAGGGACATAGCATTACCCAACTTCCTGATGCTTTGATGCACCACAATTTCATTCTACAAGAATCACCTTAGCTTATGGATGATGATGATGATGATGAGGGCAGTGATGCCCGAATGTTTTGCAATTCTGGTTTTGAGCATGTTACTGCTTAGTTCATTCATGGATGATCAATGTGATTGCATGCTATTTATTTTATTTTATTTTTTTAGCATGATGTGGACAGTAGTTATGCTTATATTTATTTTCTTTCTGCATTATCTCATGTGATTTTTATGTGATGTTTACATGATTTAGGCTTAGTATTTACTTCTGTCTATATTATATTTTTTTCTTTTTAGTATGTTTCTACTGTAATATATTTATTTTCTTTCTTATTTATGTTATGTTATGTTATGTTATTTATATTTTCATGTCTCATCTTTTATTTTGTGAGGTACATATTTAATAAAAAAATAATTTTAATTAATTAATAATTACTAACCTTTTACTAAGATTAATATTTTCTTTAACATAATAATTCTTAAACACTTAAAATTAGTTGACAACACATATAATTATTTAATCAAAGATATTAAATTTTTTTATTGCCAATTTAAATTACCTAATTAATAATCCAATTTTTTAAACTATAATATTGTGAATGAAAATTTGGAATGATTAATAGTTTTAAAATAGAAAATAATGGCATTCAAAATAAGTAAAACAAGCTTAACTAGGTATATTAATTCTACGTGATTAAACAAGATTGAAAAAGAAAAGAAAAAGAAAAGATATATAAATCATTAAAAGTTTAAAAAGAGAAAAAAGCAAGAATTTAAGAGAAGGTGGTTGAGGTCATGTGAATAAAAAAATTGGTGACATAATTTAAAAAAAAAAAGAATTAAGAGCTTCTTTAATTGGATATTTCAAATATTTCAAGAAGGGATTGATTAAATTAAGATTGTTTAAATGATACATTTAATTAAAGTGTATATATATTTGATAATTAAGTTTATTTTAGTGAAAAGTAGGTTAAGTAATTGAAGATTGATTGTGTTAAAGGAGTATTAAATAATGCAATTTTAGATTAGCATTAATTAATAGAAATTCAACTCTTTATTAATATTTGTGCACTTTAATTAAAAAAGTATTTATGTTATTATTTAAGAGCAAGTAAATTCTAATAAGAGAGCTACTGAAATTTCTTAAAGTTTGAACTTTGGTATTAAATTACTTGAGGAAATGTAGAGTTTATGCTTGAGAGAATTTGATGTGTATAAAATGTCTAGTGTTGTATGGTGTCTTTATTATATTATTTGTGTCATTTATATACTTTTCATAGGTTGATTTGGCCCATTTCTATAGTCTAAAAATAAATTTGAAGCATATAAAGTAATTGGCACATAACAGACACTCAGAAGAGTGCCCCCAAAACAAATGGAGAGCGCCACAATGGTTAGGCTTGGCACCTCAACGCTGCAAACTCTAGCGAATCAGTACCTGAAGATAGAAAAATTATTGCGTACGGACACCGCATACATCTCTGCATGCGGTGTTCGATCCTGACCGTAGATCACAGTGATCTACGGTCAGGATTATTTCCGTTTAAAAAAAAAAAATTAGGTGGGGCCCATTGAAATGCATCGGGACCGTAGATCAGGTGATTTACGGTCTGGATCGTCCGTATGGAATAATTTTTCCTAAAGATATCCCATTTCAGTCGAAATAGATAGAAGATGCCATGTCGGCATTAGGACCCGAGCACATTTGTGCTTCGACCCAGTGCTACCGCATCACCCAAACCAACGCCATGACCCCTGATGCCCTAATTTAATGATCTGAAGCCACCAAATGCAGCATCGCCGCGGCTGCATCCAATGCCCCAACACTATCATGTCAGCGTCCCCGCGCCTACCAGCGACAAAAAGCAATTTTACTGCTTTGTCTATGGTTCCAATGGGGGAAGGCATTTAAGGGCTAGATTTCTTTATGGAAGGCTGCCTGACAACATTTAGAAAGAGAATAAAACAATACTCGGGAGAGTAAAGTGACTTGTGGGGATTTATATTGTGATTGTGTGAGAGTGAGTGAGGGTGTGTTTGTATCAAGCAAATGAGGAGATTTCAGACGGACATCAAATCATGAGAGCATGATTTCATCCATATGATTTTTCAATTCCTTTTACTTTGTAAACTTAGTTTGAATTTATTAAGGCAGTTTATATATCTATTTTAAATCATAATTAACACTTAATCTTATTCTTCATTTGGATTTATTTTCTTTAAAATCTAAGAGAATCTGTGCTATATTTTGAACTTAAGAATGAAGAAGAAGTTGTTTTAACCTTCCAATCTTAATTTACATTTAAACTAACCATTTTGA